TAAGACGCGAAGGTAGGGCCTAGAGTAACCTTAGCGACAGAGCTTTTGCTAGGCAATAGGGTTGCACCAAATTTTAGAGGACCAATACGTGCTCTGATAGGGTCTAGGAAGCGAAGTAGGTCTTCATTGTTCTCCTCAGATGGTGATGGTTGAGATTTTTTCGGTGCCATGGCTTAGGGTTTTGTGGTGCTTGGGTTTTGAACGGCAATGCCTGAGAAGAATGAGTACAGTCTGGGGAGTTCGAATCATAGGGAAATGAAGTGGTTTGAAGTTGAAAGGGTGGGTCTTTTATAGCTTATGATGGGGCCCGTACTAATAAATTTGCTATTGGGCGCAAACAATGGCCCCCTTGTTGAAGTTAAATATCATATGGCTTGGACCCCCACAAGGGGGCACCCCCATGACCCCTCTCTCTCTGATTGGCCAATTTTTTTAAAAAAAAAATTCTTTTTTTTTTTTCTTTCTCCTCCAATCACCAGCCCCCACGTGTGTGTGTGTGGGGAAGGGGGGTGCATGTGGTGATTGGAGGGGGTCCCAATCACTTCCGCAAGGTTAATTCATACGATATTTAACTTGAACAAGGGGGCCATTCTTTGCACCAAGTTTTGCCAGTCTCTATCGACAAATGGTCCACTTAATCGAGGACACGTGGCCAAGTTTGAAAGAATGTCCACCACTTCAAAGTGGGCTCTCTGCATGTGGGTCACCTAGAAGTGATGGGGGAAGTCTTTAGCACCAGTCATGGAGTTTCTTCCCTGTCGACCTTCCTTTTCACCATTGTGGGGCATGTCCCTCGTCATTATGAATTATTGGGCACACTTTCAGGAGGAAGCATGAGACAAAGCAGGAGCCTTGCTCTGTCGACAGAAGTTTAAAACAGCTTCTGGCCATGAAATAAACACAAGAAAAGGGAGATCGACGGATAGAAGTGGAGGTTTAGTATACTTGGAAAGCTTAGAAGGGAGATCATTGGTTTCGATATCCGTATACTGTTTTTGTGGCCCATCATTGCATGATCCCACACGTCTACACCATAACTACCACTGTAACTGCCCCTGACTTCGAATCTTCAAGTCCCCTCTGCCAAATATTGACTCTTCCCCGTCGACCTTCCTTTTCACCATTGTGGGGGCATGTCCCTCATCATTATGAGTTAGTGGGCACACTTTTAAGAGGAAGCATGAGACAAAGCAGGAGCCTTGCTCTGTCGACAGAAGTTTCAAACAGTTGATGGCCATGAAATAAACACAAGAAAAGGGAGATCGACAGATAAAAGTGGAGGTTTAGTATATTTGGAAAGCCTAGAAGGGAGATCGCTCGTTTCGATATCCGTATACTGTTTTTGTGGCCCATCATTGCATGATCCCACACGTCTACACCATAACTGCCACTGTAACTGCCCCCTGACTTCGAATCTTCAAGTCCCCTCTGCCAAATATTGACTCTTCCCTGTCGACCTTCCTTTTCACCATTGTGGGGCATGTCCCTCATCATTATGAGACAAAAATCGACAGAATATTGTCCACTAAACACAACCACAATCCTTGCAAACTAGGCCACTGAGCCACAACACTTGGCCACTCACTGTTACTGCCCTGACTTTGAATCATCAGACTCTGCCAAATATTAATTTCCCCTGTAATTTAATCAAAATATATTCAATGTATTTATTTGATTCGAAATAAATTAAAGATTGATCTGATTAAAGATTAAATGACTAAAATTATTTAATCAGAAATAAACTTGTATTTTATAATCCTACATTGGAAAAAAAAGGAAAAAGTTAATTGTTTCACATATATAAAAAAAGTTCACTCATATTTTCAGCTAAATTATTATTGGATATTAGATTAAAAATTCCTCTTTGCACCTATTTTTCCCACATTCTCCCAACAGCTGCTCCATTCAACTAACATTGAATCTTGCATGCCACCTGACTTACACGCTGGAACAGTTACTGGCAGTGCTCATGGATTTAGTGGCCAGCCTCCAATAGGAAACATGAACGAATTGGGAGTCTGTATCTGTCGAGGAAAGGCTAAAAAGACTTGGGCACAGGTGGCAACTTCAATTATATGCACTTCGACAGGTACAAGTGAAGGTTTTATATGGTTTCAAGACACGGAAATGACCGTGCAGTTACAGAAGTTGCACAGAAGCAGTTGCAGAATTGGCAGATCATGGGGTCGTGGGTATTTTATAGCTATAAAGGGCAGAATGTTTGCAGAGAGAGAGGACATGAACAACAACACAACTTACTTTCTACATTGCAACTTCTGAGTAGTTTTTTCCCTTTTACTTTCTACTTTGTTACAAACAACACAACAACACAACAACTTACTTTGTACTTTCTACTTTGTTACCATCAGTTCATCGAAAGAAGTCATCATCCTTTTCAGGCATTCGAACCAATACCACAATTGCTTGATTTTCTTCTTCAACTTGTCAACTTTAAATTACTGCTCCGTTGCTGTCGATATAGGCCCACCATAATTTTACTAACAATAAACCCATACTTTCATAGTTAACATGAAATAATTTCACAACTCCTGTTTGTAACTCGTAATTCATATAGCAATCGGCATGGAGATAAAGTAACGAGTTCGTTGGGTTACTTTCTCCAAGTAACACCCAAAATTAACTGCCACTTGGATTATATACAAAATGCATGTGCTGGTATGTAATTTTGCAAACCCACTTGGACAAAATTCGTATTTTACTCGAAATATAATACTAATTTACAGACACAAGTCATAACAAATCAATACGAAGCGAAACACATCGTTAGTTGATAAACCACACCGCAAAAAACCCTTCAGTTAGATCCAACCAAATATGGAACAGAAACAAGCAACCCGCAATAGGAATCTTGGAATACAGACATAAGCCAATTTCCCACCCAAAACAATACAGACAACCCATATATATCTCACCTTCAATTAGTTTTCAAAATGACAAGTCACTGCAAACACAAATGACAACATCACTCTAAACCATATGGGAAATTTACAACTCGTGGCCTTGTACATAGGTAACGTTGTGCCATTTCCTGGCATTATACATAACTAATGGTTTACACGTTACGTACAGCAATCCGTGCAAAATGAAAGCTACATACATTATTTCCATGTGCTTTTAATAGCTAGTACTGTCTACCTAATAAATTAAGGGAATAAGTAAATCATACAAATTATACAATTACCTGATTCACCTCATCAATTGTGGTCGAATCATTTTTGCACACTGCTGCTTCAACACTACCGTATTGGCCCGCAGGCTGCTTGGAATCAGGAGAAGCATCGAAAAATAGTCGTCGCTGCTTAATGTGCGGTGTACTTGGATCCACCAATCCAATTTTGCAGCGAACGGGCAATGACTCCGCATTGTACTCACGGTCAGTTATGCGGGGTGTATCTGCATCTGAGTTAGTACCCACTGTTCGGCTAAACCGAACCTTAGGACACGTTCGCTTTGTGTGCCCAATGCATTTGTAATTCCCACATTTTCTTGGTCTTCGACAGTTGGACGAGGCCCGTCCCGGGTTCCCTTTTGTCTTCACAACATCAGGATCTTCTACTCTAAATTGTTGAGGAAATGAATGTTTCCCTTTGTCTCCATTCCCATCGTTCAGATTCCTGTCATATAACTCCTTCATCCGGCTCGTCATCGGAAGACATGCATCCCTAGCCTCTTTGAAACCTTCCGTTGATTGCGAGGCATAGAAACACATTTCGTTGTAGGAAGAACTCAATATCCCATACCGGGCCGTCTGTGTTGTAGTGCTATCAATTGAGGGTTAAGGCCATTGCTGGCCATCCTTGCTTGCAGCCCTTGTCCATCTATGCAGCACACAAGTTGGGGGAATTTGCGTTAAATTTTCGGCTTTCATAACACATATCATGTGACAGCAAGGTAGCCCCAACGACTCAAACTTCATGCAAGAACATCTCATTGCAGCATCCACTGGACTGTGTGTTACTATCCATGATCTGTCCGTCACTTTGTACTTATGAATATAGTAGCATTTCTGACCATCCGGCAAAGGGAACACGTCCTTGACATTCAACTTCCCCTCTTCTAAGATTTCATCACGGAACATTCTAAATATATTTCGGGTGAATAGCTCAGCTCCATGTCTCTCTATATCTCGCAATGGAGTAATCAATACCGGAAAAGTGTTATTTGTTTCAACATCATCTCTAGTCTCGTTATACCTTATCCTTGCAAGAGCCCGATCATAGTGCGTAAAAAATTCATATAGCTTTAATTTGTGTTGGGGGAAGGGATTGAAATAAGCATTCATACACTCCGAGCACTGAGTGCTCTTCATCCCAGCAAAGAAATGTCCACGCATATATGCCTCAGCCTACATATGACGCTTCTCATATGTCTCAAACACCCAACTGTTGGTTTAAAGTCCAAATTTTTCAACCATTGTCGTCCAGCCATGCTCAAACTTTGTCTCATCCGTTTCCATGTCCATGCACTGCTTGAAAGCATGTGCAAAGCCACTTATGTGAACATTTGAAACAGCATTTTTCCCAAGATACCAATTACATAATCGATGTCTTGCGTCTGGAAATACTCTTCTGATTGCCTCTCGCATCGCCTTATCTCCATCTGTCAGTACGAACACAGATGCTTTATTGCCCATCGCCTCCATAAATGTTTCCAAAACCCATGTGTATGTCTCAATTGTCTCATTAGCTAGCAAAACACATGCAAATATCGTGGTCCTAAAGTGGCTAGTCACACCAGCCAACATGACAAAAGGCTTCTTGTATGCATTGGTTCTGTAAGTTGAGTCAAATATCAACACATCACCAAACTTTGCGTAGTCGGCCCGCGATTTCGAATCTATCCAGAACAGATTTTGTAACTTGTTATCGTTACACACATCATACTTGTAAAAAAAAACGTGCATCAACATTAAGTTTTGCACATAGGTAAACCAACGCACCCTGCGCATCACCATCCTCAACTTCTGCTCTACGTTCGGCTTAAATATGGTTGTGCAGATCCGTACGGACGAAACCAACATTCTCATAAGACCCGGATTGATTTACCATATAGTCCATGATTTGGCTAGTCTTCACACCGACGTTGCGCATAGCCATTGCTTGAGCTTTGTCAACATTGTTTAAATTGCGATGTGACCTCAGATACATCACACAGTGTTGTTCCGCCAATTCATGGTTGTGGTCTGCGACGAAGTGAGTCACAACATACTTTCCCCCTTCACCAGCATTTGCATCGTACCGTATGCGAAATTGGGCTTTGCAACCTACTCTTGTTAGTGCCTTGGGAGCTCTACTCTTCTCAGCAACACGGTCCAAGTATATTGGTAATCTCTGGCCTTCCCTTGAACACAACCACAGCCTACTAACGACCTTTCCCTCTTTATTTGTGTTAAATCTGGATTTTCGTATACTAAATCCCTTGGCTTTAGCATACGCGTTGTAGAAAGCTTCTCCATCTTCGACCGGATCAAATTTCTGTTCCAGAATAGCACGTTCAACATCACCAAACATGTCATTGCCATAAGCATCGTCAACCATTTCTTTTTTCACATCGGCTCCGTCATCTTCAACGTTCATGTTGGTTACTTCTTCATTGCTCGGACCAACTTCGCAACCATGATAAGGTTCCACCCGACTTTCATTCATCAAACGAATGTCATCTGCTTCATTTGGAATGTCATAATCATCACCTTCCCTTTTAACTTCCGCTCGGGCCATACTGCACATGACATTAGTACAAACAATTACTTGATAACCGAAAAATGTTAACACAAACACAAACATGACATTTTCACACGATTTAGTTGTTTGTGTAAACACAAACACTCGCTTGAGAAAGAGAAATGTTAGTTGTCAATGGAGGGGTTTCCGTTTGAGCGAAGCGTAGAGCGGTTGAAGTTAGGATGGGGGTTTAGTTGACGGAAAATAGCTGAAATAAAAAGACCAGAGAGACAGAGAGGGAGACAGAGAGAGAGAGAGACAGCTCCATACCTCATATCTAGTTGGAGAGAAGGGCATCACTTCAGCAATGGAACCAACACAGGCTTGTAGTTACGTTGTTGTTGGAAATCGCCCATTATACTGTTCCCTACAGAGCTTCGTCAATGGAACGAACCCGGTAGGGGCTTCTCGCTGTTAATGGAAATCAACAGTTACACTGACCCAACCTTACACAGAGAGAACAGAGATAGATAGGGACGAAATACAGAGAGTGAGTGGGATGCAATCATGCAAATACAAGCATTAACCGGTTGCCCCGGTTTCAACCTTTTCACAATTAAACAATTCAATGGTCTTGATCAATTATTGTAATCTAACAGCTAACAATTAGGTTGCATATGGTGTGCAACCTTGAGGGGGTTGCACACTTAAACAGAGCACTTTTAATAAACTCTCATATTATTAGGTTTGAAAAGTAAGTATCTAATGATTAGGTCATGGCCCAATTGATGTAAATGATGAGTCAATTGAATTATGACACTTTTAGTATCTATTACAATTATAAATCCTCAATCCAACTCTTATTCTTTTGTATTTGTGAATTATGGTAAAAGAGAAACTATAATTTTATGCCTAAGTAGATGTATTTTTAAATTTTTACAAAATAAACTATGGATAGTTAATAAATTGACAAATATAATTTATTATATGATTGGATTATCTTTGACATAAAATAAACTAAATTTCAAAACTTATAAGACAAAATGCATTTATATTTCATTGTAAATATAGTTTTTGTAATTTTATTGCACTTTTTTAAAAATACATTCTACCATAGTTTATTTATTTCTTATAAATAAATTTTATGTTATTATTTAATTTCAAAATTAATTTTTTATTATTTATTTAAATCTGTGCATAGCATAAGTATTATGGTTTATAAACTGATTTTTAAAAATTACACTCATGGTATGAAGATCCGTTAAGTAAAGATGAGTAAGAGAGAAGAATAAGAAAAAAAAACCTAATGTGAGATGTCAAAACTAGCGATTAGGAAAAAAATCTAAAAGTTATACTTATTGGTAGGCAAATGCTGATTTCAGAAAAGATAAGACGATAAGGGTCACTGGTAATTCATTGTTTGTATCTTCATTTTGTTATTCAATTTTTTGATTTAAACAAATTTTGGTAAATTGAGTTTTACAAAAAAAAATTATTATTATTACTATTATATGGCATGCTAAAAAATATAATTAGTAAAAAACAATAATAATAATAATAATAATTTAGTTTCACATAATTTACAATATCATCTAATATATGGCAAACTGAAATTATGCAATCCTTATAAAATAATAATGTATTTATATTTTATGAGGTACTTACGTGTAGGTTCTAATAAGTGGACTTATTGTCTAATAGGACTTATGAGAAAAATTTGGTATAAAAAAAGTCACTAATTGTAAGTTTTAGCGACAATTTATAAAAATCATGACAAAAAAAAGTCACTAATAGCGACATATATAAAAAATTGTCACAAAAAATTATTTTTAGCGATAATTTTACCAAGACTTATTCTCAATAAGACTTGTTAGACTTATTTATTTTGATGATTTATTTAATTATGTTTTAATTTATTTGAAAGAGAAAAATAGAATCCAAAATTTATTTTAATGATTTATTTAATTATATTTTAATCAAAATTTATTTTGATGATTTATTTGAAAGAGAAAAATAGAATCAAAATTTATTTTGTGTAATTATTTATCACCTAAACCTTTATCCTAAATGTTGTTAAAATGTATTTAATATTTGATTAAATCAGGAGTTCAAACAACCCAAAACAAAGGTTCAAACAGCCTAGCACAACAACAGGCCAAAAGGTTCAAGTGGAAGATATTCAAATTAGTAATGATGGAAGTACAATGGCTATAAAGGCTCAAAAGGCCAAAAGGTTCAAAATGTTCAAGTGGAAGATATTCAAATTTGTAATGATGAAGTAGAAGATATTCAAATTGGTAATGATGAAAGTACAACGGCTATAAATTCAAATGACTACAACGGCTATAAACGGCTATAAATTCAAATGAATACAATGGCTATAAACGGATATAATTTTTATTATATATACCAAAGTCTCTAATGTAAACAAGTTACAAAAATCTGAAAATATTCTTTGATCTATAATCACTCACATCTATTCTCAGAAATTATACACTGAGCCTTATAGCATTAAGCTCATCTTTCCTGTGTGAGATTTACAGAAAAATCAAAGTTTCATTTATATATCTATCTTTGAGAGATATTTATTATAAACTTTCTTTGAAAGAAAAAATATCATTTTCATCTTGTAAAAGTGTTGCAAATACCGTGTTCTTAAAATCTTGAGAGTGATTATGAATCACCTAAAATTTGCAAGGGTTTGGACTTGTGAAGTCTGTGTAAAATTCGTTGAGGATTGCTCCATTTGTAAAGAGGTTGCTAGAACCCTTGTGAAGCTAGAAGATAGTGGAAAATCTCAAGTGAAACTTGAGGAGTGGATATAGGCTTGGTTGAAACCGAACTACTATAAATCTGTTTGTCTCCTCTTCCCTAATCTCTTTACATTCCTACTACTGCTATAGCTATCTAATATTCATATGTTAATCATTTGATTTACCCTGTATGTTAGTTATACTTCATTGTTATTTTACTTGATCATTTACTGCTGTAGACACCCCATTTTTGACCGCCCTTAAGACTTGGGCACTACTGATGGTTTGCTCAGTGTTGAGAGATGTGCAGGGCAAAGATTCAGTTTCTTCGGTAAGAAGAGAGGCAAATCCTTCAAAACACTATGTTTAGGGGTTTGGAGTTGAAGAAGAGAGGAAAGGAGAGGAGAAAACTAATTTGGGAGAAGTTCGGCATGAATCCGGGTAGAAGCGAGTCGAGCAGCCCTCGCTGAATCGGGCTTATCTGTCTGTACGCTTGGAGTTTAGCTATGGGGCCACCATCGGCGGAAAGCTTACTTCCGGGGCTTCATTTCTCACTCAAGAATCTCTTAAAGCCAAGTCCGGGTGGGGGAGATATTATTGGTTGAAGTTGGGTATCATCCCGGTTGGATCGAATCTGCGCGGCTTCACCAAAATGGGCATAACTTTTTCCACAGGAGGAATTTTAATGCAAGGTTTGCACCATTGGAAAGCTAACTTCTGGGGCTTCAATTTGGACACCAACCGGCCATTTTTTGACCTTACCGGCCATCCACCGGCACTATATTTATCCGGCCGGCAATTTATTGTGCCGACCGGCACTTTATTTTGCTGACCGGCAATTTTTGCAAGCCGACGACCTTCCGGAGCATTTTGCAGACTGAGTGGATTCCAGCTGTGCCAGCTGGAATGCACAGAATCGATCCCCCACGCACATGTGTGTTTGTTTTGCACCTTGTGAGCCTTTGAACCCCTTAACCTTCTAGAAGCTTGAACCCTTTGTTTAGCTTCCTCTAGAAGCCTTGCACCCCCTTGAACCCCTTTGACCCTTTCCCTTTACTTAGCTTGTAAGTTAAAGGCTTCCCTTGCCTTATATAAGCCCCATTCCTCTCCCTTTGTCTAGGTTGGATGGTTTCAAGCAAAAAACTAGAGATATACCATGTATATCTGATATACATACATACAACCCTTGATCTCTCTCCATATCTCTCTCATTCAATCATCAAATACCCTTGTTCTTGGGCCATTTCTTCATCAACTCATAGCACAAGACATCCAACACCCATTCCAGTAGCTTAAGGCTGTCCTTCAGAGGTTAAAAGCTCCCAAACCCAGTCCAAAGGTTGCTAAAGATTGGTTCTACAAGGGTGAGTCCCACTTTCCCTCTTTTGTGCATTTTCTTGGCCTATATCTTAGCCCCTTGTGGTTACATCTTTGGGCTCCGACCCAAACTTCAAATCATCATATTTTGAGGTCCTCTTCATGTTTGATTGAGGACCTCTTGCTGTTTGAGGACAGTAGCTAGAACTTCCTTCATTAGCCCTCATTATGCCATAATTTTGCACAATATTTTTGGCTTGCGTGTGATCTGTTTTGAGGCATGTTATAAACTGTGAAGTTGCTTATTTTGAGCCCTTCTTCAACATTGAAGAAGGGCTCAACACTATTTGAATGCTCTATGTGCTACTTGCTTTGAAATCCATGTGGTAGCCCCGTTTTTGTATGCCATTTTAGCCCCGTCTTTGCTTACTGTTTAACCATGCCATAAACTGTAAAAATGCTTATCTCAGGGCTGCCTTGCTTCTGTCTTCATGCTCCATGTCCATATTATGCATGCTTTGTATAGCTGTAAGCCATTTCATGGGCCTAATTTTGCATTTCAGGATTCATTCCATGCGTTGAGTGTTGTTTCGTTATGTTTCAGGGCTGTTTTGCATCACCTATCACCTCTGAAATTCGCATGAAAAATGTCCATGTTTGTGCCTTTCAAATGCGTCGAAAAGCGGCTTCATTATGCTTAAGTCTTGGACCATGTATTTATGCATGTTTGCATGTCATTTGCCTCCATGCACTTAGCATTTTGGCTACTGTTTTAGGCCTATTTAGAGTTGCCTAATTCATGTTTAAGTCCATCTCTCCATCTATTTGCATTGCCATATGTATGCTTGTATGCTTGCATAAGTTAGTTGCCATGCCATGTTGCATCCTTAGCTTGTATGCTTAGGTTGCATTGCATTTTGCATGCATTCCTTGCCCCTTGATTTGGTGATAGGGATTAGGACTTTGGTTTGATTTGGTTTGCATTTC